AAACTTTGTTAGCACTTTCAAAATTTATGTAATTAGGGCTAATAAGATAAAACTAATTAAAAATAATCATTTCAAATATTCTTATTTATTTATTTAAATGGACATAATAAAAGATCTGACTCCAATCTACTGGACCAGACCAGAAGGACAGGAATCCCAAGCCTTACATAAAGAGTCATAAATAATGACTCACTATTCCCTTATTTATGACCACTAGTTTTACCATATTTACTTATCATTGACCTCAACCTTGTTTTAGCAACAAAGTTTTATTTTCAAATAGTTACCAATGAATCACTGATACTGATACCTGAACAACAGATATGTCCACTATTAATTGCTAATTTGGTGCAGTTGGAAGCAACAAAATGCCATGGTAAAATATACTATAATTCAAATATTCATTCATTTTAATTATTGCCTATCCTTTAGTTAATATCAGTCTAAGGACAAAATAACTTAGTTACCCAGCTTTAATTTTAAAAGTTAATAATCGGGGCACCTGAGTGGCTCAGTTGGTTAAGCGGCTGCCTTCGGCTCGGGTCGTGATCCCGGGGTCCTGGGATCGAGTCCCATGTCGGGCTCCCCGCTCGGCGAGGAACCTGCTTCTCCCTCTGTCTCCTGGCTTGTGCTCTCACTCTCTCTCTCTGTCAAATAAATAAATAAATAAAATATTTAAAAAAAAAGTTAATAATCAAAAAAACCTTTCTTTCATTTGTAATATTTTGACCTAGAAGAAAACCATGGCTCCCAAATTTTGAAATACTATCTGTGTTTACTAAGGTCGTCCACGTTTTCCTTCAAATTCAATCCATATTTGCAGTGAAGAGGATCCAATTCAGAAAGGAGAGTGGGATTTCAGTCAGAACAGAAGAAAACACCTGCCATTAATCCCAAGAGCACAAGTGGGGTCTGGAGTGTCCGAAGCAGCCGCCACAGCTGTGAATGGAGGTTGACCTCTGCTTCGGTTCTGTCTTGAGCTGGCAGGTGCCAGGACGCCATTCTGTCTGCTCAGAAACATCCCCTTCTGAAGCAGCAGTATTTTATTGCTCAGTTGTGAATGCAGATTTTTATGTGTTCATGAATTAAGGATCCTTGCTTATGGCAAACTGTCTAAAGAGGTCTAGTTTTCATATGTGGCTTTGGCATTAGTCATTGGACTTTGGGGGAAAAAGTCATCTCTGCTCCCCACTGTAAAATTGTTTTAGAAAAGCTTTGACCTCAAACATGCCATATAACCTAATAAAGTGCCTTTCGAGGACTGGTACAATGAGAGGCTTGGCCTCTGAAATCTCACCAGCAAAAGCAAACTAAACTTCAAAGAGAAAAAGCTTTTGGGGGGAAAGGAGTGGGAGCAGGGGAGGGGCTCCATAGTAACTATAAGTATCTTTATAGTAGCTGGATTTTCTAGGGAGTTTTTCTTAATGCTGGTATCGGGAAGTGTTTAACTGTGGCACTAGACTATTAAGCTTTTCCAAAACAGACCACTCAGGTTTTCTAAATCAGCTTTTCCCACCATATCTTCCGTCAGTGCCTGGAACATTGCCAAACTCTTTATAGGCATTTATATATAAATGTATATAAAAATCAAAATACACTTAAATAACATGGTATTTCAATCAAGACTAGAATCTCCATTGTATTTCTGAGACTGGATGGTAGGTGTCCTCTCACTCTTTTTTGGGGTTTCCTTTGCCCCACCAAAAATAAAACCCTACTTGTAGAGCATTAGAGAACATTTCATGTGTTAAAAATAACCAAATAAATTCTTTAAACTTAATTTTACAGAGGTAGACACACAGTCTATACCAATTACTCACTACTCATTCACTGAAAACATTAATAAAACATTAAAATTTTACTGAAAACATAAAGAAAATAATTTCCTTGGTTTCCCTTTTTTTAATGGCAAAATTATTTTTGGGACAAGAGAAACAAGGGTTTGTTTAGTTGATTTCCTTATCTTAGCTCTCTCTCTTCTCTCTCACTCTGACCCTCCACAATTACTCTTTTTCTCATTTTGAACTTGAGATCTTGGGGTCACTACCCAGGATACTGGGAAATGTAATTGGCAGCATTTCAGAAGGCATCTGTTGAAGGCAGGCACATAGTCATCATTCTTTATGAGAATCTAGTTCTAGGGCTGTGTCCCAACACTTACCATCCTAACCTAGGCACACAGACTAGGTTAAAGTCCTGGCTAACTCACTTGCAAGAGACCTAACCTTGATAATCTTTGAGTTTCATTTTTGGCATCTATAAAAGGAATATCATAATATTCTCTTCATTGGATTGGGACCAGATGAAAGTTCTTTGTTGATGGTAAAATATATAAACTACAAGACATGATATTATTGTTATTATTAAGTTCATGATAACCTCACAGCTGTTACCAGAAGTGTCACAACTGAGAGTAGGAATTTAGTACAGTTCCTCTGCAGCAGATACTTAGCAGGAGATGTTTTAGTAGACAGAGTATTCCCACATTTCCACCTGAAGTGACATTGCAGGGACTTAGGAAGGAGTACTTTGCTAGAACCTTGGCTGTGCTTCTAGTCTAGACTTACACTTGTCTTCCAGCCCTGCCGAAGGTGAAGGTGAGAGATTGAAGGTAACTCTGAAATGCTCCAATTCCTCAAGTAGGCTGAGCCCTGGAACATGATTTCGTCTTTAAGAGCTAGGGGAAAAAAGTATTGATGTCTCTAGAATTAGTATGTCCTGCTGGCATTTTTGTTCAAAGATAAAGAAAAATCTCAATGTGGCTTAAGAACAGACAGCTGCCCAACAAAGTAGAAAATCCTAAAAAGAGCCACATCTATATGGTTATCTGATTTATGACAAAGATAACACTGTACTACAATGAGGAAAAGATTCATTTTCAATAAATGGTGTTGGGTTAATTTGATATTCACATAGGAGAAAAAGAGCATCTTGACTTTGACCTCACATCATGTACAAAATCAGTTCCCCATGAATTTAGATCTGAGTATGAAAAATAAAGAAATAAAGCCTCTATTTTTTTACTTTATTTTTTTATTGTTGTTTTCCTCTTTCAGTTTCCATGCCATCCAGACAGTATAAGTTTAACATACAGTGTTGTATTTATTTTAGGTGTACAATATAGTGAGTCAACAATTCAATACAATCCTCAGTATTCATCATGATAAACGTACTCTTAATCCCCTTCACCTATTTCACCCATCCCCCACCAACCTCCCCTCTGGCAACCACCAGTTTGTTCTCTATAGTTAAAAGTCTGCTTTTTTGGTCTCTTTTTTTTCTTTGTTTTGTTTCTTAAATATCACATATGAGTGAAATCATATGGTATTTGTCTTTCTCTGTCTGACATATTTTACTTGGCATCATACCCTCTAGATACATCTGTGTTATCACATATGCAAGATTTCATTCTTTTTTATGGTTGAGTGATATTATATCATATATATGTATATATTACATCTCTTTTTTATTTATCTTAATTTTTAAAAAAATTAATTCTAGTATAGTTAACATACAGTGTTATAGTAGTTTCAATAAGGCTTTTAGCTTTTAGAATAAACATAGAAGAACCTCTTTATGACCTTGGAGTAAGCAAAGATTCCTTAAGTGGAATACAAAAAGAGATAAAGAGAAAAAAATGTTAAATAGAGTTTTATTAAAATTGAAAACTTCTGTTCATTGAAACCTAGTTAAGAGAATATAAACACAGTACACAGAGTGGGAGAATATATTTGCAAAAAATAACTGATAGAAAACTCATAATCAGAATAATGTAAAGTACTCTCACACCTCTCGATATATATAGATATTATAATATGTAAAGAACTCTGGTAAGTCTAAAGGACAACTCAGTAGAAAAAGGGCAAGAGACGTGAATAAACACTTTGTGGGTGAAGTTACAAAATGGACAACACATGCATTAGAAGGAGTTAAGCTAATTAATCACTGGAGAAATGCAAATTAAAACAGTGTGAAACTACTACACCTCCCACCAGAATGTCTAAAACAAAAAAAGATGGAAAATGCCGAGTATTGATGATGATATAGGAGAACTGAAATTCTTGTATACTGGTGATGGGAGTGTAAATTGTTAGAACCACACTGAAAAACGATTTGTCAGTACCTACTAAAATTGAACATATTAGGTATTTTCTATAACCCAAAATTCCACTCCTAGATTTACACCCAACAGAAATGCATACAGTTTTTAATCAAAAGACATAAAGTTAGGATATTTGTAGCAGCATTATTTTTAGTAGTCAAGACATAGAAACGCCTGAAAACAAAGGGCCATCAACCAAGTAGAATAAACAAATAAATTATGGTTTATTCACATGGTGGAATATTATAAAGCAGTAAGAACAAACGATCTACAGCACACACAAAATTATGAATACATTTTACACATTGAGCAAAGGAGGTCAGACTCATACTGGTATCATTCCATTTCTGTAACTACAAAAACAGACAAACTGTTTTGTCAGAGGTCAGAAATAGTAGTCACTGTTGGTTGAGAGTAATGACAAGAAAATGTCACCACAGTCCTTCTGGATTTCCTTAGCTGATTTCTACTTGCATAGGTACATTTAGCTTGTAAAAATTTATCCAGCATATTATATACTTATGACACGTGGACTTTGTGTACTTTTCTGTGTGTGTGTGTGTAGTATAGCAGTATATATGTACTATATACTATGGTATAGTACCATATTTTACTGGTATATGTACCAATATGGTATAGTACAATGCATACCGGTATATGATATATACCATACTATATATACCATTATACTATATATGATAGTATGTGTATTATACCACTTTCACATTCTAACCATCTTACAATTATAATTTAGAACCTAAAATTCCTTGATAAACCTCATTGACCGGTATACCTCTTTGCCCTTTGCATGAATCTTGCAGCTAACTAGCTGATATATTCAAGCTACAATTTTTTAAATTTATTAAAACATTTCTTTCTTTCTTTTTCTTTTTTTTAGGGCCCTCCTGGTCCAAAAGGTGATAAGGTAAGAAAATGTGTAGCAGAAACTAATTAAGTTAGTGGAAATCCATTGGTATGACTTATGCTATGTTATATTTTGGTCTTTTTAATGAGCATCGAATGCAGCCTTTATGCTAAAACTATTTATCATCTCATCTTCCTACTCTACAGGGAGAACAAGGTGATCAGGGACCTCGGGTAAGTTGTATTCTTCCAATCCTGGGCAGAAAATTGGTTTTCAGCTCCAAACTTATTGAATTAAAGTAGCCCTGGCTTTATAACATGTCTTTGTGTCATGGTTTAGTAATAGCTGGCAAAAAATACCATCCCACTTGTAAGTGAAATAGCCTTAATAATAATTAATGGGTATATCCTGTAGCATAGCTTTAAGTTCATACCTATAAGTAGGACACTGTACAATAATTAGCCCTACTGATGAAGGGCCAGATCACTACTAAAGAGTCAATAACAACCACCATTCCGATGGCTATTGGGTCCTTCAGATTTGCATGCATTGTTTTGTATGCATTGTTTTGGATTCCTGTCGAATTTGGCCTTTTTCTGCAGTTAAACTTTATGTGCTATTGCATAAATATGTTACATTATAGATGAAAATATTAATGCATTTTATATTTGTATTCCTCATCATAAATTTGAATAACACTTATTTGAATTTCTTATTTTTTATAGATTTTTAAACAGATAAAAGGTGTAATATAACAGTGTTCCAAGGAGGAGGGGCATTCTTTTATTCTTCTCAAATGTGGCTCTTTTAACCATTATAACACAATGGTGAATGCTTTGTTGTTACCTTGGTAGTGCCAAGTCCTCTGCTTCACATCTGTGCCTTATTACCCAAATGTTCAGACATACTGTTCCAATGATGTAGTGGCTCCGTTCAGACATACCTCTCAATTTTCTCATGTCACTATGCACAAAAGCGAGTATTTGGTTGAAGAGTCATTTTTTACAGTGGAAAAGCACATTTAAAACTTTCAGGTTGAAAACAGAAACTGTAGGGTTTTTGTAAAATGCGCTGTGTGTAGTTAATTATTGAATTCATTTATACTGCAGTAGATAGAGGTTTTATTGCAAAAGATGTAGTTGATGCAAACCTGAAAAATTTTTTGTCTTATCTCTTCATGTTTATTAAACTAGATAGAAGGTAGGCTATGATTTGTTTTCCTTTCCATTCTTCAGCCATTTCTTTATATAAAAATAATGACCATGCCTCAGAGCATTTTGTTTCTCAAGGCAATTATTTTAGCCGATGACTAGCTTCAAGCTAAAAGCTCATGTTAATGGTCAAGGAGATTAAACATCATGATATCTGTCATGGATGTGAATGGAATAAAATTCTCATAACCTTAAATGATTAGAACATAGCCACTTGCTCTGTATGTGGTGATTATTCACATGGCATGTCTCCATGTATCGAGTATCGTTTATTTCTGCACGACATATCAAAATCACTCAACTTGCCCTTTCCAGGTAAGGGGGAAACTGTTTCCATTCTGAGAAATCTTCTTTTGGCAAAGGAAGTGAAGGGGTGGTTCACAGCTCAGCTGTCATCAGTATGCACGCAGTCCTCATTTTCAAAAAGGTGTGTTGGCTTTCATCGTTCCCAAAAGTGATGATTGATTATAAAGCCAGGCCAAATTTTCAGGATGAAACCTGAAACCATGTGAAATTCACCTGGTTTCATGTTGCATTACAAACTAAGACTTGGACCAGGTTCCTTGTGAGTTTGGCCAAAGTTCATGAACTTCTTTGACGAACCCAGACTGCCTTTCATACAGATTTCAGCCAGTTTTCACACTGACTGAGGCCTGGTTTCACACAATTCAGGGCCCATTTAGCATTTCAGGTGGAAAGTGGCAAAAATTGATCCCATTTTCCCCAGGATTTTGCTTTTTGTTGAAGGAATTTGGATTGATTTTATCATGCAGGGTGAATCTTCATGGGTGAAAAACTAAAATGTCCTGGAAAGTATATGTGAAAAAGAATGAGAACCTACCAAATTGCCTGTCTTTTCTCAGATTCCTAATTTAGAAACAAGGCAGGTTACATGTAGCACTCTCCGAAAAATAAACCTTACTTTCTGGTAAGAAAGTATTAGCTACTTATTAGGAAATTTATCATATCAAGATAGTAAAATGAAGGGTTTATATTTCCAGAGATATCAAAGGTAAGTTAGAACTGGAAAAGTCTTCTATTTTAATGAGAATTCACTTTACTCACATGCTCTGTAGGCACACTATCTAGTTAATGCTCATGGAGAAAAGATCTCTTTTCTAAAATGTAGATCTTTGTATTTGAATACCGTGCCCATTTTTATCCTATCATAGTTTTTGAATTCAACTTTTTACCATTTGTTTCAAGTAGCTTATTTCTTTCCATAATTAACAATATGACCCTCCATCATTTCAGTTCTTTGTTAGCTTACCTACTGTTAAAGGATTTCTACTGTTTCCTTCAATATGGGCTCCCCCCCCTTTTTTCTTTTTGGCTTCCCAAGTGTCAAACAGGAATATATTAAGCCATATTATGTGATTCAAAGCAGGAAAGTGTTGAAGATAATATATACATTAAGAAGGTGAAACTATTTTGAAACACTTATACATATATTTAGCAATATACATTGAACTTCTGTTATCTTCAAGATACCATGCTTAATACTATAGAAACTATAAATGGATCCATTTTCTCTTGCTTTTACTACCACCAAATTCAACCTATCATCTCATCTTCTTGACTACTGTGGCATGCTTCCAAGTAATCTTGCTTCTACTCTTGACCCTGTATAATCCATTTTTTACACAGCAGCCAGAGAGATCATTTTATATTGTAAATTAGATCATGTTGCTCCCTGTTTTAAACCCTAAGATGAAATCCAAACCACTTTTCTTGGCCTTCATGAATCTTCAAGATCTGACCCTTGCCTAACTCTCTAACCTCATGTCACACCACTCTTCTCTTCCCCCCACCATGCTCCAGCCACATAGTCCTCTATGTGTATTTCAAACACATCACACTGGAATGACTTTCTATTTGCTGTATTCTGGTCTTCTGGTGATTGGGTTCTTCTTATGACTGAGATTTCATCTCAAATACCTCCTTGGGGAGAACTTCCCTGACTACCCAATCTAAATATGAGATTATCCTATTTTGTGTATTTATTTACTTGCTTGTTATCTGTAAAACATGCCCCACCATTTACATAAACTCTGTGAGAGCAAGGACTTGGTCTACCTTGTTCATACCACCATCAGCTAGAACAATAAAGACTCAATAAATATTTGTTGAATGTTAAAATAAAATATTATTACATCATTACTGCCCTCAAATTGCTGATAATCTCATGGGTGCCTGAATAAGAAAACTATGTCGTTGTGTTATCTGCCTTAAATAACAATACCAAGAGATGCTAAACAAGTGAACATTCTTCCATTTTAAATGATCATTGGACACTGTGGAAGAGGTGACACTTGAGCTAGGACTTGATAAATGGAGAATCTTTAGAAGAGAAGATGAAGAGGAAGACATTACACATTCCAGAAAGAAGAAATAGTACAAACAGTATTACACAAGTAGGAAATGACAGGATTCATTAAAGGACAATAATATTTTTAATTGCCAAGGATATAAGTTAAATATAGAAAAATTATATCATATAGGTTGAAATTTTTTTAAAAGATTTTTTATTTATTTGAGAGAGAGACCGATATTGAGAGAGAGAGAGAGAACACAAGCGGGGTGAGGGGAAGAGGGAGAAGCAGACTCCCTGCAGGGAGTGAGTTGGTTCCTTTCATTTAGGGTTAGGATGGATATTCAGAAAGGAGAGATTTGCCATTGCATTTAAAGGCGGGCATAAGGTTACACAGGCGTACTGAGAAAACATGCCTATACATGCATTGTACATTATGTTAATGAAGCTTGTGCTCCTCCTTGAGCAGAGACTTTAACATTATACTGAGGCAGAGGTAACTATTGGGCAAGTGGAAGGTGCTATGGGAATCCACTAAGAGCTAGTATAATTGGATGGGACCTTGGGCTCATTATCTCTCCTAGGCCTTGCTTGAATGAAAGGCCTTGCCTGTTCATATGCTGGAACCATATCAGTTGACCTTGAGTCTAGCCTTCTGTAGAGACTATTAGTGGATTTGTTAGTGGGGTCTGAAAAGACAGAATAGCTGATTAGGGGGAAATGGTTCTCTGAAAAACAAGCTTTAAACTTTCTGCTAGTTTCAACTTCATTGACCCTATGGGCACAGTTTCAATCTCATCAATAGGATTTGTCACAAGTGCCAAGCAAAAACTCAAAGAGGGAAAACCAGGGATGACACTAGTAGAGGAGAAATTAATAAGAAAGAGTCTTTTTTTTTTTTTAAGATTCTGTTTATTTATTTGACAAAGAGAGAGACAGCGAGAGAGGGAACACAAGCAGGGGGAAGGGGAGAGGGAGAAGCAGGCTTCCCGCTGAGCAGGGAGCAGATGCGGGGCTTGATCCAAGGACCTTGGGATCATGACCTGAGCCAAAGGCAGATGCTTAATGACTGAGCCACCCAGGCACCCTAAGAAAGAGTCTTTAAGCAGAGGGTGGGAGATGAATTCAATCCATATTGGATTTACATCTAAGAGCTGTGATCATTGGTGACTTGTGGCCAGGGTCAAGTTAAAAAAAAATGCAGTCAGGGAATAAAATAGGAAGATACTGAGGTGAAAATTCAGCACAAATCTTTTAACTGGATGTAGGGGCTGATGTTGAGAAAGGGTGTAAGGATAGGGCTGAAGTTTCTGGCTTGATAAAATTGGTCAGGTCACAGTCCGAAGTATAAATAAGTTAAATTTTAGTTGTCTTGAATTTGTGATCTGGATGAATTATTTCACTGGAATAACGTAGCAAACAATTGGAAGCATGAGACTGGGAATCTGAGATGGTATCATAACCGTTCCATAGCTGGACTGACCCAGAGTGAGAACTGAAACCGTGGAAGTGGAAAAATAGTGCGCGAAAGAGTGAAGTGAGAACCACTTTAGAAATATCCACATTTAGGGAGTGGGTCAAAGAAAGAGAGTCAGAAAAGAGAGTGAGTATTCATTCAAAGGCAAAACCAGGACACTACAAAATTTGAACACTAAAGGAGGAACTACTTTATTTTTTTTTAAAGATTTTATTTATTTATTTGACAGAGAGG